CCGCCATGTCCTAGGCCACCGCCAAGTGATCCTCCGTGGCCACCGCCAAGTGATCCGCCTTGGTGGCCATAGCCACCACTGCTGCCGCCGCCAAAACCACCTTGCCCACCAAATCCGCCAGAAGAGCCACCATATCCACCTGGTTTGGCCATAGCCAAAGCAACGCAAACAGCGAAGAAGATTATCTAAACAAAAAAAAAGTAACAGATGAAACCGATATACTTAATAGAATACATATATATGTAATTTTGAAAGCGACAACTTTCATTTGCTTATTTACCATAACTTTAGCCATATTAAGGGATAAGAAGTTTTCACTTGTTTAGTAATCGATGTTTGAATTAAATCTGAATAAATTTGGAAGGCATTCGGTGCTTTTATAGCAGTAAGTTACCAAAAATAATGCAATTAAGAACCAGTTTGGCTAGCTATCACACCATAAAGAAAAATAATAATTATGAATATAAATAATTTTTAAAACGTGTACAATTAAATTTTGTTTATAAAAAACACCGCCGTTATATTGAACTTAGTAATCATCTAATTTTTTATACCCAGGGTATGTATGTATGTATGTATGTATGTACGTAGGCTTGTTTATTGTTGACTATTCGACAATTTTGACTTGGTAACCGACTTCACAAAAAAAAAAGAGAAAGGTTATCAATTCGTCTGAATATATTTTTTTTTTTATGTATGTTACCACATAACTTTGGACCACGTTAACCGATTTCGGTAATTCGTTTTTCATCGGAAAGTTGATGTATTAAGCGTTCTTCTCTAACTGGTCTTTCCAACGCAGAGGACGCCTTTCTCTTCCTCTGTTACCAGCATCACGACTCGCCTTGGAATTATTTTAGAGCTGCAGCGTTTCTGTCGATTCGTACGACCTGACCAAGTCAGCGTAGTTAAATTCGCCGCACTATGTGTATATCGTTGTAAAACTCATACAACTCATCGTTCCATCGTCTCCGGCCCGTAAATCTTTCGCATAATCTTTTTTTCTCTCGTAAACTCCAAGAGCCGCCTCATCCGATGTTGTCATGGTCCATGCTTCTGCGCCATATACCAGCACGGGCAAGATAAGTGACTTATAGAGTGTAATTTTTGTAAGACGAGAGAGGACTTTAATTCTTATCAGCCTACTTACTCCAAAGTAGCGCTGGATTTCTAGGCTGACGACATTATTATTGGTGTTAATGCTGGTTCCTAAATAAACGAAGACGTCTACTTTTGTAACTGTAACTGTAACGGTTCTGTTCTTATTATCTTCGCAAACATCATTATTATTTATTTTTGGATGAAATTTGTAATAAATTATAAACTTTAATAGGGCTATTGGCTGTGTCGGTAATGGATTATGTATATCTTAGCATCGATGGCTTTGGCGTATGGTGGTGGGTGTAGGATTCCCCAGGTCTAAAGCCACGCTGATGAGCCCCAATCAGTTCGTTGACGGTGGGCTTCAGCCTTTCACACAATACGCTCGATAAGCTCGGATTGAGCAGAGCACACTTAAATTCCTGCCGTCGGGCATCCATTCATCTGACAATATTCTGCATGCACCTTATCAGCTCCTTTTTTTTTATTTTACACTCCCACCCATAGGGATGTTTATTGGAAGCAGGAGGAAAAGGGGAGTTCAATATCCCTTT